GAGGAAAGAGCTGCTAATTCGCTTACTCGACGCGCCGACGTAATGGCAAGCAGAAACACAGTTTTCATCGTGAGCATCCGTAGATCACACGTTGCAAGCGGCTCAAAGGGTGTGCGAGTCAGAGCGTCCAATACCAGAGGTAAGTCCCAAGGCTCTGGTGGGATCCTGTGGGCCGGATACAAGTTGCCTAGCCCCTTCAGGAATCTCTTGGTGATAGGGTGGGCGAACACTGAATAGCCGTCCACGGGAAGACGGAAGGCTGAAATTGCCGCTAGATGCACCCTCAGGGACGAAATAGTTAGCCCCGTCGTCTTTAGATGCATCACATAATCCAGTATCTGTTGTATAGACGACAAGTGAGGGTCAAGATCCTTAGCCAAACACCACGAATGGAAACGGCGCCATTTATAGAGATAGGATTTACGCGTTTTACTGCATCTACTGTTAACCAATACGCGTCTCATTTCTTGGGAACATAAAAGTTCCGAAGCTTGGAGCCAACTAGGAGCCATGCTGTGAGGTGTAAGCGGTCGATGGCTGGGTGAAGAACCGTGCCGTGTTTCTGGGATAGCAAGTTGGACAGTTGCGGTAGTCGTCGTGGATAGGCCGCTGACATTCTTGACAGCTGCGTTAACCAAATCTGTCTGGGCCAGAAAGGTGCTATCAGAATCACTGTTGCGCCATCCAGTGCTATCTTCTCCAAAACCCTTGGAATGAGTGGAAGAGGAGGAAAGGCGTACAGTAATTGGTGGTGATCCCAGTCCAGAAGGAAGGCATCGCCGAGAGAGTTCGTGCCGATGCCTGCTCGTGAGCAATACTGAGGACATTTCCTGTTGTGTCGAGTGGCGAACAAGTCCACCTTGGGAAAACCCCATTGCAAGAAGATGTCGCGGAGCACTTCGGGATGCAATTCCCACTCGTGCTGTGAGAGGAAATGCCTGCTCAGAGTATCGGCAATTACATTGTCCTTGCCAGGGAGGTATGCTGCAGTTATGGTGATACCTTGTTGAATAGCCCAATTCCACAGGCGCACAGCCTCCGCACACAGGGAGCGGGAGCGTGACCCCCCCTGCTTGTTGATATAATACACCGTGCATATGTTGTCGGTGAGAATCTGTATGGAATGTCCTCGGATGATGGGCAGAAAGTGCTTGCAAGCCTTGAAGACTGCTCTTAGTTCGAGAAAATTTATATGCTGAAGCGATTCCTGGGGCGTCCATAGACCCTGCGCACGGAGCTCCCGAAGGTGGGCGCCCCAGCCGAGATACTCCCACAGCTTTAGTAAGGGGCTAACAGTCCCCTTACACATAGGTTGTAGACCTTGTTCTCATATCTTGATTACTTCAACATCTTTCATTCTGACCTTGGTAAAGGCCCTCTCTCATATCCATTAAGATTGCTGCTGCAAAAATCATTTTCTTTGTCCATCGTTTTGTCCTTGTCACTTCCTCACTTTTCATCCTTTCACTGGCTCCCCTTTCTCTATTGCATCAAATAGCAGCTATCTGATTTTACCTTCGGGGTCCTTCAGAACCTATTCCTGCCCTTCCAGTCATTCCTCATTCACTACCAAAGTCTTGACTCCCATCTCTCCTCCACCCATGATGTCTGCCTCCAACATTCATTTGTTAAATTTTCAAACATGCCTGTTTATGGTTTCTGTCATGCTGCTCCACACCATTGGGGGAAAGCTCCCTATGAACATCATACTTCTAATGTGGCCTTAAAATTCTCATTTGCTGTGATACCCATGGAAAACTTGACAATGGTTCAGCTGCCCATGTGCCAAGACCACTGCCTGTCATGTGACCATAATTGTTTTATTGTTCCCTTGTATTCTGTAGTCTGTATCCACCTGTTCTCTCCTGTCATCTACTTAGATTATAAGATATTTGGTCCGGGAAGGAGCGGGGCGGGTCAGGGAACATCTTTTAGTTCTATGTTTGTGCAGCCCCTAGCACAATGGGGTCCTGGTTCATTGCTGGAGTGCCCAAGGGCTATGTAATAATTAATTAAATTAAGGAATTAATTACACACCTGGCTCTTGTATAACATCTTTCAATCTATAGTTGCAAATCATTCAAAAACTACTGGGCTTGATTAACTCCATAGATTCATTTGGGTGCCACTTGAACTACCCTTGAGTTCAGCTGCACCCAAGAGGAATTCCCCCTAAGGAAGGGAGAGGATAGTAGAGCTGCCACTGCCTCATGGAATACTATACTAGCAGGACAGGTGGGGAGAATGGGCTGGAATCAGCTTTGTATTCTGGCTGGAATTCCAGTAAGGGCCTGCCAGAATAGGTTGTCTGGAAGATGTGCTGAGTTAGTTTATCTCCTGGATGCCATGGCTTTATCTTCTTCAGGGCTGATCTCATCTATTTTCTGGACAGTCCCAGCTCTCTCCTGGTCTCCCAGTAGAGTAGGGTGTTGCATTCTGCTTGCACTGCTATGATTCTATCCTGGAGTTGAAATTTCTGCCATTGCCCATAGCCAAGTTTCTGCCTGCAGAACTCCTGCCAATAATTGGTCTTATCATTTAAGCCTCTCTCTTTGTCAGACAGGTAAGGGATTAGAAGTATCATTTCGATAACTACTGAAATACAGCCACAATGTTGCACACTAATACTGTGGAATGGATCACAATAGGCACGGCAGGAGAATATTGAATCCAATTGATGTCATGGATGATGTGGGGCAAGTTGAGCATAATTTTCCTGTGTTCAGATTTGGCCAGGATATGGACATCTACATTCCTAGTCCCATGAAAAACGGCATCTCATATAATATGTGTAAATTTTAAATAACTGGGGAGGAGGGAGCTGATTCTCCATGGACCTGCAACATGCATGGTCATCCACACTGGCGCAAAGTGAATGCAAAATGGGTTTACAACATTAGCAGCAAAGTAAGCATGTGGAGAATTCTTCTGTACATCCACATTATAGTTAGCTCAGCCGTGTCTTTCAGACATTCATCTTGGCAAGAACAGGTGGCTTATGCCAGGAGAGGATAGTGTTATTGTCTATTAAAAGCCCCATAGGAAACCTATTGGTATAGGTTGTGGTGGAGAAGTGTTGAATCAGCGCATACTCCTGTTAATGCAGTTATATCCCCTTCCTT